CCACCTATTAAAAGAATTTCACGCCCAGTGGGACTCGAACCCACAATCGCTTGATTAGAAGTCAAGCGCCTTATCCATTAGGCCATGGGCGCTTCTGCTTTTAAAATGAGCAAAAAGCATATTGAGTATATATGTGTGTATTTCAAGTTTTCTATCTCTTGCAATGGGAATGCCCTGAATAGTATAATTTATTCTAACTTTGACTATTGTTTGATAGAATCTTTTCCTTTCAGATATTTTTGGCATGATTGGTATAATGAAATAGAATTTGATAAGAATGGAATATATTGAAGAATGAAATGATTATGGAAATGGAATGAAACAAATTTTGTCATTGATGCGTTTGGTATGCAGAAGGAATAAGATCGGAATGAAATGGCATTATCATCCTATATTATCATTTATCACTATTTTATAGTAAAAAAATTATATTTATATTAATGTTATTTTCTTATTTATGATAATACTAATATTATTTTATATTTTAAAAATATACTATATTTTAATAAATATACTTTTGTATTGTTACACCCATCTTATATAATAAATAAATGAATTATGTATTGTTATACATACTAACTAATACAACTATATCATTACATAAAACCCTATAAAAATATGTGGTCAAATATACTTTTTTATAATATAATTCAATTTATGAATAAATATATAATATATATGATTATATAAAATAAATAAGATTTTTCTAAATTATTTATAAATGCTTTTTCCGTGAGTTTTATTCTTATATAAGTATTTAATATATCTAATTAAAATATGACTAATAAATAAAAATAATATTTCAATTTTTTATTTGAATTTTATTTTTTAAAATGATTTTATTTAATATAATTTAATCATGATAATATAGTATATATTATATATTTATTTATCTATTATTATTGTTAATTTTATTCTTTGAAAAATTGATTCCTAACATATGAGAATGAAAAAATCATCCATTAGTTATGGAATAGCTAATCCCATATACATGGGTTTTGCAATTCCCATTGGAATTGTCATTCCCTTTTAAAAAATATACCAATCATGAGAATAAAAATGAGTAAGGAAATGATTATTTCATTCCCTCAATAGTATAATTAATTCTAGTTTTGCTATAATTGTTTGATAGAATCTTTTCCTTTCAGATATTCATAAATAGAAGATGGTAATTATTGGCAAACCTGAAAGTGGTATCCCCTGATAAATCTTGTAGAGAAAAATTAATGCTACAATTTTTCTGATAGATCTTTTCAGTCAGATATTCATGAGAAAACAGAAAATGGCAATTTGTGCTTCAATAATGGATTCCTACAGGATGCAAAATGACTGGCCACCAATCTCCAAAGTACTAAGATACATATTACAAAGTGCAGAACAAACATAAAGACACTGTCCTTATATTCCTAAAATGCTTAGCAAAGATCAAGAATAACACGAGCGGAACAAACATCTAAGTCGGAACAAGAATATTATCCCGATCATCCTGATTACCTATTGCCAACAAACAAAAAAGTAGTGCCAACAGAACAGCAAAAAGACTGTAAATAATGCTACGTGCGGAGATGTGACAAAATCGAGCTTTATTTTCTGGAACTACTTCATCTCCTGTGGAAGAAACAGATTCTGATTGGCCATGGTGTTCTTCAGAAAATAATCTGCCTCCACCATTCTCACGGTTCGAAGCCATTCTGTTTGAGCGCTGAAAAACAGACAGGCAAAGGATGATGCATCATATTATGAAATGTGGAGTGCAAAGAATTTTAGTAATCAAAATATTTTGGTTTTTTCAAGAAAAGCTGCATTGCATTCATCTTTGCTAATAAAGTTCTCAATAATTCCATCCTAGTGATCTTTTCACTTGTTGCATGCAAAAAACACAATCATAGATACACTGAAGTATTTCATTTTGATGGGAGCCCGTACATCATGTGCATCATATGTTAAACAGATGCTTATACGAGCCATTCATAGAATACTGTCCAAGTTTTCGAACTGTTGGATTCAAAATAACAGCACCGTAGATTTTTAGTTAAATACCAGCTGACGCTATGCTCCACAAATACTGTACTACTACTTTTTTCCATATCTTCTTTCGATTTACTTCTCAACAAAACTGTAATTCAAGCATTAATTTAAACACAAGATAAACCATACCTGTGGACTTGGAGTTTCAGCACTCCCAAGAACAAAACCTGAAAAGTTCCCAACATAATCTTCGCTCCTTGGAGAAGAAAGGCCATCACACTCAGAGCTCGTATTGTCAATTCCTTGAGTTAAACCTGAGAATATGCCGTCTTTGAGAGATACATCCAAAAGTCCATTGCCAGACCTTTGCCAAAGTCTACGGTTCACAGTCCTACAGCCATAAGAACAACTTTGATGCCCCTCATTAATCGACTTAGGCGACTCGATAAAGTAATCACACTCAATAAACGAGTCAACGGTTCGCGACTCAGGCGATGAAGTAAAAGGCGATTGATCCCCCGAACAACAAATATTCCTCCTTCCGGCACATATTTTCTTTGCAATTTGCAGTGCTTCAAAAGCAGCTCCAGTAACAAACGGCATTCGGTCAAACTGACACTTCTCCATTTCCTTAATAACAAATTCCATTTCAGACAAGAGACTTTTCGGGTCCAAACATCTCATTAGTGAACTCACCATATGAATGGCCGACAGCTGTTTTTGAGAATTCGCCTCTGCAAAACCGGCATCCAAAATCCGCAGTCCAGACTGTATCAAAAGTCGAGCATAGGCTTCAACAATCAAACTATTGTGTTTGGCCAAAGCCGTGACCAAAGCCATATGGGAATTTGTTTGCGAATGCATCTCTAAAGCCCCTGCTACCCTTTGGCATACCTCGTTAATCATTTCGTTCGAAGAAAATCGCCAATTATCAGACTCGACAAGTGCTTGTAAACAAAGGGCAGCACCGGAAGACAGATTTTCTTGGCTACTCAGAAGACAGTCTGAAAGGGGCTTACACAGAGAGTGAATAATGTGTCTCTTTCGATCGTCTGCTGTTGTGGGGTCAATTGCATACCTTGCTATAGCTGGAACAACCTTTGAGCAAGCCTGGTGAAGAGCAAAAGCTCCCGCACTCGAGGATAATGTCTTGACGATAGTGTTCATGATGTTATCTATTTGGGGGATGATTTTTGGCCCGTGAACTCGAGCAAGAACCTCGTACAGAGAAATTGTATGCTCTCCGGGTGATACTCCAGTTTGCTTTGTTTCAGATACATGAGCAAGAAAGATGGGTATTGCTTTCGAGTCCAAGTCCTTCACGTATGACTTCAAAGCTTTCAATGCCGATTTTCTACTATCAGAATCCTTGTCAAGATTTTCGAGCTCCCGGCGCAGTACTGGGCTTAGGTTTCGTCCCATTTTACAGAACTGGAAGATTGAGGGAAAATGAAAACAATTATGTCCTGGGTCTTGTTAAATTTGCAATTTTATCAAATGGGACTTACAGAATTATGCACTACACAAAGATTTGCCCGGATTACGATTCCAAGATTGAAACTTTCAGAATGATTACTAAAAGGAAACCCTCAAAGATGAGAGGATGACCAAAGCCCACCGGCTTTAGGAGAACACTTCAAAATGAGAGATTAATAAAGTAATTATCCCAGCTTAAAATTCATAACTTTAATTTAGCAACAGCCCATATCAAATGCAAATCGGTTAAACACGCGCCTAAAAATCAAGAAAGAACCCAACACTAACTACACAAAATTTTCCTCATGGTGTGCTGTATTTTCCATGACAAACAAACAAAAAAAAAAAATAAAAAAATCAAGATCTTTCATGAATAAAGAAAATAATTTCCCAACAAAAGCACCTACCTTGATATCAAGAATTAGCTTGTTCTCCGTGCCCTTGCTTCTCGTTCTTGTTGTTGCTGAGCTTCAGATACAGATAGGAGAAGAAATTTTAAAAAATACCCAAGCTTTTCCTGTTATGGGATTTGTAATAAGACGCCTAGAATTTGAATATAAAAAATGGATGAAATAATTTGGGTCAAGAAATTCGAGGTCTTGTGCTAAATCTGAATATGGAAAGAGAAAACATAAATGCATAAATGAGCTCGAGTGGCAGTGTGATGCTGTGTGAAAGAGAGATGCGATTGCGAGCTTTTTGGGCGCCCTTTGTCCGAATGCTTTCGCTCATTCAAAATTTTTAGGGTGGAATCTTTCTACTTATTTCCCCCGCTATCCCTCTGTATATATTTCAGTAAGACGAATTTACCCTTTCAGTCAAACTGATATGTGGGTCTGCCCGCCCATCTTGGAACTCATCCCCAGTTGTGAATTTGGGTTGTGTTCGATTTGGTTTGATAAAAAATTGATAAAGACGAGCTTGCGATAGCTTTTTGGAGAAATACGATAGAATCCCGGCATTAAAATAATTATTTATTTGCATAATTATTATTTCTATTATTCTTTATTTATCACTTTTTATTGTTAGGATGATATCAATCTTTTAGGAATAAAGCTTGGCTAGCAAGTTAAGAGTTTATTGGTGACAGGAGTCTATTTATGCAGTAGGAATTGGATGGAACGATCAGTTGATTGAGAAATATTGAAAAGAAATATGTTCTTTCGTGAGTTCTCGTGTGAGTTCTTTTTTATTCTTTTTCGTCATTCTTGTGCCTACATAAGTTGGTATCAGCAGACCGGGACGATTCAAGATGCCGCGACAACGAACGACGCAATGCTCGTCTTGACGATTTGGATCGGCGTACCGAGGGCCTCGGCGCCGACCGTCGGGTTGAGGGTCTTTCTGCGAGAATCGAGGAAACCAAACTGGCCATTCGTACCATGGTGCACGGAGAAGAGACGGACCGCGACGTCATCAACCGGGGCGGTCGCGGCGGGTTACGCGGTGGTCGTGGTGGAAGAGGGCCGTTCGGGGCGCCCCGTCCGCGCTCGCCACGATCACAACACGGTTGGGAAGATGATGAAGAGACCATCTCGGTGGTCAACCCTTTCGTCGATTTGCACCAGCGGCGGGCCGGGGAGGAGGGCTTTGAGGCGCATGGTGGCCGTGATGGGCGGCGCGACGACCCCTTCATCTCGGACGACGAACAGATGCAGTGGGCTAGGGCTTTTCGGCGCGGTCGAGCAGGCCTCCATGACGAGGGTTACCTGCACCGAGCTTGGGGTCATGACCACGACGGCAGAGGCTTCACCGGCGGCGACCTTGTGCATGAGGTTCACCGACTGGCTTGTGGCTACGCTGAAGGTGACGGGCTGTCCCATTCTGATGGTAACGGGTGTCGTGACGGGCTCAGATTTGATGTCGGCGAGCAGCAACGGCCGACCGAGGGTGTGTATGAGGGTCGGGAGTTCGCCGGCGGGGAGCAGCAGCGGCGGGTTTTTGGTCGCACACTTGATGGGGGCAGCTCGTCGCATTGGGTGCAAGGCTTTGGGGTCGACATTCCCGAGTTTTCGGGCGGGCTGGATGCGGCGGACTTTCTAGATTGGTGGGCCGCCGTTGAATCCGTGTTTGAGTTTAAAGGTGTCCCGGATGATCAACGTGTCGCGCTCGTCGCAACAAGACTTCACGGGCGAGCGGCCGCTTGGTGGTTACAACTCAAAAGTATGGGCAAACCAAAGATCTCGATTTGGATTAAGTTCCGTAAGCACTTAAAATGTGAATTTTTACCGTTTAATTATGCAAATTCTGTTTATCAGCAATTTCAGAACTTAAGGCAAGAGGCTCGTTCTGTTAATGAATATACGGAAGAATTTTATCGCCTCCTGACTCGTGTGGAGGTTCGCGAGATGAAGACCCAATTGGTTTCGAGGTATGTCGGCGGTTTACGTGTGGCTTTTCAAGATATGCTCAATATGATTTTCCCCGAGTCGGTTTCGGCTGCACATCAACGCTCATTGTTGCTCGAACAACAGCAAGCCTGAAAGGCGGGTGCATTGGCTACGCCATCTATTAAGAAGCTTCTAGGGACCGTGGTCCCGACGTTGTCTGGATCACTTGGCCAGCCCAGCCCGGTTTTGGTGCAGTGTCTATAGGTCCTACGGCTGGGGGCAACATGCGACAGTCTGGTGCGCCACCTTGCTTCTCCTGCAACGAATCGGGGTATCGGCAAGCTCAGTGTCCGAAATCAAAGGGGTCACGGGCTTCAATTGTTGAGGAGATGGAGTCCACAGAGTACGATGGCCCTCCTATTTTCGATAAGGAGCCGGAGGTTCCCGTGGTGCATGTCTCGAGGGACGTGGGTCACGCACTTGTCCTTCGTCGATCCCTGTTGTCTCCTCCCATTTCTTCTGACAATGAGTGTCAGCAGCGACACCTTTTTGAGTCTACATGCACTATTGGCGGCCGGGTGTGCCGTTTTGTGATTGATTCGGGCTTCTGCGAGAATGTAGTCTCGGGTCAAGCCGTTCAGAAGCTGGGGTTGGTGAGTGAGTCGCATCCGGATCCATACTCTCTCGCGTGGATACAACGTGACAACGATGTCTCTGTTACGCGCCGAATGTTGGTATCTTTTTCTATCGGCTCTTCGTATACGTGGCACCTTTTGTTGGGGCGTCCTTGGCAGTTTGATTGCGCCGTGGTGCATGATGGGCGTCTTACCACGTACGAGTTTACATTTGACGGTGTCCGCTTAGTTTTGCATCCTACAGCTCCTCATTCGATGTCGGTATCCCCACCAGCGGCCTTATTTCTTTCTCGTAGTGGGGCATGTGACGAGGGTTATGGTTTGGACAATCGTTCGGTGGTGTTTAATGTGGGTGATTTTGTTTGTGTTGGTTCCCTGACGGACGGACGAGTCGGTCCTTACGAGGTTATCTAGCAAGTCCATCCGGCTGTTTACCGTCTTCGCTTGCCCTCTCATTTGCGTTTGTCGGACATTGTTCATGTGGCTCCTTTTCTTTTCCACGACTCCGTTGAAGACGAGCTCGTTGCGGATTCGAGGGCGAATCCTCCTCAACCGGGGGAGGATGATGAAGACGAACTCGCGATAACTTTCTTGGAGAAATACGATCGAATCCCAACATTAAAATAGTTATTTATTTGCATAATTATTATTTCTATTATTCCTTATTTATCTCTTTTTATTGTTAGGATGATATCTATCTTTTAGGAATAAAGCTTGGCTAGCAAGTTAAGAGTTTATTAGTGACAGAAGTCTATTTATGCAGTAGGAATTGGATGGAATGATCAATTGATTGAGAAATATTCAAAAGAAATCTGTTCTTTCGTGAGTTCTCGTGTGTGAGATCTCTTTTATTCCTTTTCGTTCTTTTATTCCTTTTCGTCATTCTTGTGCCTACATCAAAAATATTTTGATTTGATCCAGTATTTTGATAAAAATGACTACCTTATATGAGTTTTACTAAGTTAGCATCTGAAAATGACTTAAAGTGCACAAGCCCATTTTCTTTCAAATAGAAAAGGTCATTTTTTGGGCATAATTATGGGAAAAGAACATTTTGTTTCCTATTTTTTCTCCATTACTTTCTGTATGTGACTTATGAGGGTCCAACACGTATTAATTTAATCTAATCCCATCACACATAAACAATTGATCCCTTCATGTTTACACCAAGCCATCTGCATAACCATGCACTAACAAAGTAAAATATCCACACAACATGAAATAATGTAGCCTGTATCATCCTATGGAAAAAGACCAAAACTTGTATTAATATATGGATAATTAATCTCATCCAAAAATACATAGAGAAAGGGGAAAAAAATGTCACATTCAAATACAATGACAGCGAGCTTGTACAGAAACCCCCATCAGTTTTCTTCTCTCTCGAGTGATAGCTTCCCTAATCATCGGAAGCTTCTGATAAACCTTCTTCCAAATATGATTCACTGCCCCACCCGAACTAGTGGGCCCAACTCCTTTCGGCTGACCATTAGCATACTCGAAAACCGGCTGAACCTTAGCCATATTCTCCCGAAACTTATCCTTCTGCTGACCCGAATAGCTTCTGAGATGGCCCACGAGCCAACTGGGCCTCAAAGCATCACTAACCGACATGAAAACGGAAAATTCCGAATAATCCAATATTCCTTCAAAGGGAAGCTCGATATTGTCGCTAACGATGACTGGTATTCACAGACTTTGGATGGCGTCAAAAAGTCTACACGAAGTGGGTGTATCGCCAGCTGGATGTAAACAGAACTCGGATGTTCTCATTCCCTTTATCGACTGTTCTTTACCAGTGGCATTTGGGAAGCCTTCTTCTATAACGACTCCAGGCTCGTTGATTAGCAAGTCCCATAATTTTTCTCAAACGAGTCCACCCTAACAGTTAATGGAGAATAAGAATTAGGCTAAATTGCATTTTTAGTCCTGCTGGTTTAACGCCATGGTATTTTTAGTCCCAAGATTCTAACATTTTTCCCTGTGATTTAATAGTTTGTTGCATTTCAGTCTTTTGAGGACTGAAATTGCAACAAATTTCCAAATTTATAGATTTTTTATTAGCAATTTAAGTCCTATAATTGAAAATATGTTGCAATTTCAATCTAGTTGTATAGGACTAAAAGGCAAAAAGTTGGAACCTTGGACTAAAATTGCTATGGTGTTAAACCAACAGGACTAAAAATGCATATTTCCTAAGAATTAATAATATTAGCTGCAAGATTTACATTGGAGGTTTTAACCCGATAATGGAAAACTAAACTTTACAGTTACCAATATAGTAGAAAACTAACCCGGTGCCTATGCTTGGCTCCTTTGAAATACAAAAGGGTATCTCGTTTCGCGTTTTTTGATATGTCTAGTCTCGGGAGTAAATGGGTGTATGGGACTATGACATCTTTCAACAGAGAAACCTGAGTGTGATGTATCGTCAGGTCAGACGAGCTGCTGTTGTTGGAAGTTTTAGAGTCGAGCCTGTACCAGCCGCCAAAATCGACCACAAGGAGAATTGCAGGGGCAATCTCGTCCTTTACATGCCACATCGCAACAGGGTCTGCCAAAGAATGCTTCAAGTTTTAACATAACCTGACAAAGATCGAGAGACTTGAAAAAATAAGCAAATTACACATGCATACACTAACACCCTGAATTTTTCGATGAAAAGTAAAATTTGCAAAATATTCAATAGTGAATGAATATTCATTCAGAGAGTTGTATTTGTATATCACCTAACTGCAAGTAGATATAATGTTGCCAAACAGTGCGAGAAGCAATTTCCTTTTCATTAGCACGACCAAAAGATACCAAATTCGCTACACATAAATTTCACCTCAAAAGATTGAACCTAATCGAACATTCAAGCCAGAGAGTACAAAAATCACCCTTTTTTTCCCTTCCATTTCTAACACTGAATTGGAGCACGTATCGAATAGAGTAACAAAGGTCATAATATGCACTTACATTCACACTCAACAAAGCCTATAATTAGATGACCATCCTTCGCCTGATAATATTAACACCACAAAACAATCCAACACCACACTGATAATAACCCGAAAAGTTACAAAAACCAAACTCAAGTTTCAGCCTACTTACAGAACCCCATCTATCTTTCAAAATTACAAAACACCCTCTAATAGTTTCATCTCCAAACACATTTCCTCCTGAGAACAGTTAGTAAAATAGAAACGACTGGCAAACATATAACAGGCCTTTCTGCAAATAAGCTGAATTTGAGGGGTCATTTCATTTAAACAATCCTCAACAACTACCTGTGAGAACAAAAACATGATCTCGGCCACCGGACCTCTTCCAAGCCGCCGTCTTCTTAACAAGATCCACCGCCATTCTCTGCCTCACATAATCCTCATTCCCCTCGACCTTCTTCCTAAACACGCTTTTATCCACGACCAGCTGCAGCTCAGCACTCAGAGTCGCGAAAAACGGCACGAAAATCACATCAGCCTCCTCAGGATCAAAAACCCTCCTCGCAAAAGAATCTCTTTTCAGCTCCTCAGGTGCCAACAGGTCACCCAAGATCCAGTACTCGGCGCTGTACTGTTTGATTATGGGGTTCTCGGGGTACGGAAAGGATTTCCGCGGAAGTTTGGGCAAAATGGTCATTCTGATCTCGTTGTCCGCCTCGCTTCCGATCCTGTGGTCGGAGGTTAGGGCCCATATTTTTCGAGGAGGCCGTGGTTGAGGGATCTGGGGATGGGCGAGATGTGGACCTTGATGGAATTTGCGGCGGTGTCGGGGGAATTTCTGGTATTTGACGGGGAGGTGGTAGTGGTGTGGTGGAGGTAGAAGAAGGTTAGAGAGAGGAGGGAGAGGAGAGAGAGGGTGAATAAGAGAGGCGGGGTTTTGGGTGACGCCATTGGAGTGTGATTTTGGAGGAGAATGTGAAAGTATGGAACTTGGACGTAGACAGATCTTTGCGTGTAAAGAGAGGAAATTAACTTGCATTTGTGCTGGTGATGATGGTCATAGAATAAAGTGGGACTAATAAACAAAACGAGCAGCTGGTAAACTCGTCTCGACTCGTTAAAGCACGAATTAAGCTCAGTTCATTTGGAACAAGTCAAACTCGACTTCGCGTAATTGTCCAGCCGAGCCAAGACTGTTCTCGGCTCATTGTGAACAAGCCAAACTCGACCTCGTTTAATTATCCAGCTAAGCCAAGATTGTTTTCGGCTCGATAAGGATTGAGTTGAGCTCGGGTCATTTTGAATGAGCTAAACTTGACGTCGTTTAGTTATCAACAAGTGCTGAGTTATGCTCATTAAGGCTTGAAAATAAAGTTTGTTATAATTTTTTTTTTCAGACTTTTATCAATCGAGCTTCGTTTAGTAAGGGAATAAAGACTCGATCTCGATTTTAGTAATATGATTCGACTCGTTAAAGTTCGAATTGGCTCGCTAATGCGGATAAATAAACCGAGCTCAAGCTCGTTAATTTAACTCTGACTCAGCTTGTTTAGAACCCAAAATTCCTCTCTTAGATTTTCTTGGCAACACTAAAAATACATGAGAATATATACATCCAGTAACAATTTATAACTACAGCTGAAAAAAGAAAAAGGTAGTAACATGAAAAAAATTAAGAGACCATAAGATAAAATGCAGGATGCAATCTGCATCAAAGATCAAAACAAATTAACCACCACAAAAGTTACAGACTTTAAGCTCACAAAAGCAAAACCAAAAAAGCAAAGCTATAAACAGATCGGTTCAAATTTCTTAAAACCTTCTTGCACATCCTTACAACAAAACACCCACCACATACGAAAAGCGTGTAAAGAGTACAAAATAGTCGCATCAAGCTCCTTGACTAACGTTCCAAAAGCGGCTCGTCAAAATTCCAATCCCTCACGAGGTCTCTCCTGATAGCATGGCTCCGGACAAGCCGTGGGGCCACATTACCCTGAATTATGGTGGGCTGTGGCATCACTTTAGATGATGTTGTGCTATGATTAGTCCTGTGGTGTGGGAGTGAAGTCTTTCGGGTCAAGCAACTGGAAACTCCCGAGCATCTGATCTCGTTTTCGGAGCTCGAGACTGAGTAGCTTCTGAACGAGTGAGATGGGCTTTCCATGCCACGGCAAGCGAGGCATGCCAAACTCATGTTGTCTCGTGGGCTCTATGAAAATTCGGGCCTTTATGGTATTTTAAGAAAAAAGAAAGACAAAAGGAACATCAAGGGATGAAACCGGGAAATTGAAGAAGAAAATATAGAAAACCTCTTTCAAGGTGTAAACTTGCAAAAAACGATAGTATGGACAGTATAAACGACTTTTTTTTTATGAGATAAGCTCGAGTTTTTTAAAAAAACTCTGTCTTATCAACCCAAACTTATTTTATTTGAATACAAGAAGCTTATAAGTTAATCAAATACGTTATAAGTTAGCTTATATGCTTACCAAACACAACCGTAGTGTCAATAAATAAGATGTGTAGCCACGTATTTGATTGTAAAATCAAACCACAATAAGAAACAGAATTTCCAGAGCAATAATATACCAGGTTCGGATAGAATAATATCAAACACAATTAGACGGGCAAACTAAGATCCAAGTACACTAAAAATTTCTTCTTTTCCTTTTNCTGGGATGGAGTTGAGAATCAATTTTTCCTTAAAGCCCCTATTCTCTAGGAACAGAACAATAGAATAATTTCACCAATAAAACCAGGAATATGACAATGTCATTATGGATATAAACCTATAGCCTGTGCCATAGCTGAGATGAGATTTTGAGGCCCAAGGTGAGTCTCAGAATACATTAAATGTTTATGTAAATTGTTCCATCAGACAAAAATGAATTAACTACTGCTAAATTCAAGAAAAATAATAGATAAGTTTAGCAAGGAAGACTAGAATATTGGTGTCCAAGATGAAAATATTAAACTGAAACGAATAGATTTATCAAAACACTACCACGGTTTTAATAAAAAGCTTTATAAAATTTATTTTAGTGCGACAAAGCCGCAACACCAACCACGAGAGGCTTTGAACATAATTTATCTTTCAAGTGAAAGAAGAATTGGGTGTTGAGTTTAGATGAGAAGTTGCAAAGATCACTTTTGAACCAGTGATGACTTAAAGCCCATCAAATTGAGTTGAACACATCACTTGCAAATCAGTAACAAAAATCATTGCAAATATTCACACTCCCAGCTAAAAATTTAATCACCAAATTAATGACAAAAATCATTGAAAATATTCACTCCCAGCTAAAAATTTACTCATTCTTTCACCTACATTTGCAGAAAGATAAGCACAAACTTCGTNCAGAAAAAAAAAAAGAAACTCAACAAACTAGCTTGGTAAATAACTCCCAGTCCCAGGATTAAAAGTTCAGAAATCCAATCAACAAAATTCATGTTCAGCCAATTAATCGAGAAACAAAAAATTGCAAGAATCCAAATTCAAACGCCGCTGAATGATTGAATCATCAAGGCGAAGTATTTTGCATGATTTATCTAACAAGGAAATTGAAATAATAAAAAACAAAAGGGGGAGAAACACGAGTTATTAATGAAGGGGTCTGATAAATAAAACAAACCTTAAACTGATGAGTAATGTAATCTACGCTGAAATATAGTGTGATGAGTGGATTTTTAGGGTAGATGATTTTCTGGGAGCGTTGAACCTCGAAAAGAGAAACCTTTTCAACCCGTGTATTTTATATATTGTTCTATTCAGTTTTCCGTAGAGGGGAAGGGTGTAACCCACGCGCCCCCAAATTTGCTTTTACAGTTGAGCTGATTATTGTATTTTTAATTTTTTTTACATTCGTAGTTCTTATGGCAAAATAGTATTTTAATTGACTACTATAAGAAAATATGTTGCGATGTGCAAGCGTGAATGTGGTACGAATTTCCTCTACTTCAAGTACCTAACCTAGCTATCTTTAAAGTCCAAAAGCAATTATATTCTGTTATCAAATAAAAAGTAATAATGACTAATGAATGAGATCTTATTTCAATTTTAAAGTCCAATCAAAATGACTAATTACCTTGTTTGTTTGGTAATAAGTTTATTTGGCTGTGTTTTTTAATTGAAAACTATAATTCTAAAAAAATGCAAAAAAAAAAAATAACATTATGTGAAGAGATAATTTAAGAGTAAAAAAGAAATTAGTTTCTATAATATTTCATTATGTATCAACTATCAACCATTTGTTCAACAAAATGCAAGTATAATTTATTAGTCAAATAAGTTAATATAATTAATTATCCATTATTCGTAATTTTCTTATCATTGATATTAGAAAAATGCGATAGATAAGAAGTTGTAGAAATAAAAAAGTGGTTTCAACTTTATCCTAGTTCATTTATTACATTATTAAGTTGATACACTACACAATTATGTCCTACTATGACCACACAATCATAGTTTGGACAAGTTTAAATTGCAAACGTAACTTTGAACGGGTCCTTATACAATAATAAATATGTATGCTTTATCTTACAAAGTTTATAATATATTTGTTTTAGGCTACAGATGAATTCTTGCAATCACTTATGTCAAAGAACGACTCGAACTCAAATTTGCCCAAACATGAGTCCTCGAACTTAATTAGCTCGAGTGCTCCATGAGTCATATAAATATATACTTATTTAACTAAATATTCCCAACATTAAGCTCGAGTGCTCCATGAGTCACATAAATATATACTTATTTAGCTAAATATTCCCAACTTAAGTAATGTTCGAGCCAAACTCATGAAAAATATTTGAATAGAAAATTATTATTAAAATTTTGAACTGAACTCAAGCAAAAAAATAAAATAAAATCGAGTTAAAGATGTTTGAGTGGTTCTTGAGTATTTGTATATTTTTAACGATTTGAGATGAGCCAAGCTGAGTTGAACCTTACAAATTCGAGCTCGTCAAAGTAGAGCTTGATAATNCATAATAAAAAAAGCACACATTATCTGTCTTCCTCTGATGACTCGTTCTTACAAGTTCGAACATATTTCCCCAAGTCAACAGTTTCATCCATGGCCAATCACCAGATTTGCAGATACAGACACACAAACACACACTCTATCTTCTTCTAGCTCATCTTCCACATTCTCCATCAGCAATGCTTTGATTTCTCTGCCCCCTTCTGTTGTTTTTTCTGCAATTCTACTGCGTAAAAATCGAATCTTTATGCACACAACCCAATGAAACCCTTCTTCCTACTCCTCATCCTCCACATCCTAATCGGCTCCGCCGTCGGCATCCCTCTCGGCTCCACGCTCTCCGCCGCCGACCCCAGCTCCAGCTGGCGCTCGCCCAACGGCACCTTCTCCCTCTCCTTCGTTCCCACTCCCGCCGGAACCCTAATCGCCGCCGTGACCCACAACGGCGTCCCCGTCTGGCAGGCCGGCCCCCCCGCCAACTCCTCCGCCGTCCTCCGCCTCCTCCACTCCGGCGACCTCCAGCTCCTCTCCTCCCCCACCGCCTTCGCCCCCCTCTGGTCCTCCGCCACCGCCGATCTCGGCGTCTCCGCCGCCTCCCTCGACGAATCCGGCAACCTCGTGCTCACGAACTCCTCCGGCGGCGCCGTCTGGTCGAGCTTCGACCACCCGACCGACACCATCGTCCCCGGCCAGCCCCTGCGCGTAAACCACACGCTCTCCTCCGGTCTCTACTCCTTCAGGCTCCAGACCAACGGCAACCTCACACTCCTATGGAACAACACCATCGTTTATTACAACTCAGGTCTGAACTCCACCTCAAACTCCAATCTAACAAACCCAGTCCTTGAAATTCAATCCACCGGAATTGTCACTCTCTCCGATCCCACCCTCTCGAGCCCTCGATTCTTGGCGTACAGCAGCGATTACGCCGAGGAAGGCGAAATCTTGAGATTCCTTAAACTAGACAACGATGGGAATTTAAGGATTTACAGCTCAGCCAAAGATAGTTCGACCGTAAATGTCAGATGGGCCGCCGTAGGCGATCAATGTCAGGTCTACGGCTATTGTGGGAACATGGGAATTTGCAGCTACAATGAAACGAACCCGAGTTGCGAATGCCCTTCTCAAAATTTTGACTTTATCGACCCTCACGACACCCGAAAGGGGTGCAAGAGAAAAATCGAGCTTCGAGACTGTCCCGGCCGAGAGGCCATGCTTCAGCTCGATCATTCTCAGTTCATGACTTTCCCGCCAGAGCTATCCTCCCAAAGATTCTACGTGGGCATCACAGCTTGTCGGCTGAACTGTCTCATGGGCTCCGCCTGCACGGCCTCGACTTCTTTATCCGATGGGTCAGGCGAATGCTACCTAAAGCTAACAAATTTTGTGAGCGGCTTTCGTTCGCCGGCCATTCCAAGCACCTCGTTTGTGAAAGTCTGTCAGCCTGTTTTGCTGCCCGACCCTTCTCAATCGTCATCTGATGACCAGACGAAAAATTGGAGAATAAGTGCTTGGCTAGTTATTGTGGTGATTCTTGCCACGATAATCGGGCTAGCAGCTCTCGAGGGCGGGCTTTGGTATTGGTGCTGCCGGAATAGCTCGAAATTCGGTGGGCTCTCAGCCCAATACGCGCTTCTCGAGTACGCATCAGGTGCGCCTGTCCAATTCTCTTACAACGAGCTTCGCAAGGCAACGAAAAAGTTCAAGGAGAAGCTCGGTTCTGGCGGATTCGGAGCCGTGTACAAAGGAGTACTCGCGAATCGGACAATAGCAGCCGTGAAGCAGTTAGAAGGGATCGAGCAGGGCGAAAAACAGTTTCGAATGGAAGTTGCCACTATTAGTAGTACACATCACTTGAATCTCGTTAGGCTAATCGGTTTTTGCTCCGAAGGCCGGCACAGACTTTTAGTTTACGAGTTCATGAAAAACGGGTCGCTCGATAGCTTCCTCTTCGAGCCGGGAAAGATTCTAAATTGGGAGGCTCGTTTTAGCATTGCGCTCGGCACTGCAAGAGGGATAACGTATTTGCACGAGGAGTGTCGGGATTGTATCGTGCATTGTGATATTAAGCCCGAAAACATACTTCTCGACGAGAATTGCCATGCGAAGGTCTCGGATTTTGGGCTCGCGAAGCTTGTTAACCCGAGAGATCATCGAAACCGAACTTTGACGAGCGTTCGTGGGACGAGAGGTTACTTAGCTCCCGAGTGGCTTGCGAATTTACCGATAACGTCTAAATCGGATGTTTTCAGTTATGGTATGGTGTTGCTTGAGATCGTGAGCGGGCGGAGGAATTTCGAGGTCTCGTCTGAGACGGGCCACCGGAAGTTCTCGTCTTGGGCGTATGAGGAGTTCGAGAAGGGGAATTTGGAGGGCATTTTGGACAAAAGGCTGGAGATTGATGAGGTGGACTTGGAGCAGGCGAAGAGGGCTGTTCAGGTGAGCTTCTGGTGCATACAGGAGCAGCCATCGCAGAGGCCACCCATGGGGAAAGTGGTGCAAATGCTGGAGGGCATTTTGGTAATTGAACGTCCTCCGGCTCTGAGGAGCGTTGTAGCTGTGGTGGAGGGGTCCGCGGGAGAGACGAGCACGGCGCCGAGCAGCGTTTTCTCGACTGGCGTGGCGGTGGGGTCCGCTTCATCGTCAATGCACACGGTGAAGTGAGTTTTTTTTTAAAAAATTTATTTAATAATATATTTGTAAAGTGATTTTTGGGTGATATGATGATTGTGGAAAGTGGAAACACAATGCATATGCTTTGTATGCTGCAAAAACTGTTCTTTTTCTCATTTATTGTAATGTTATGTGTGTAGAAGAGGAATTCCAGATGTGTACAATTTTTTATATTTGGTGTTTGCTGTAATTTGTAAGAAAGCCAAAGTCTAGGAAAAAAATGCAGTAGTTGGTTGATTTTACTACTGTGAAGAAAAACCAGAGCTGATTTGATTGATGTGCTGGGGAAAAAATAAACCTTGGCTAATATAAATCTGTGTGTACTGTGTAGTGTTTTCGGATGAGATTGAAACATGTTCTTGAGGGTTGATATGATGTGTGATGAATGAATGACGATATTGTCCCTGTTCTGTTAGTCGGAACTCGGAAGAGACTGAAACTACTCGACAGATGCAATCTGTTTGAGGATTCGGTTAGTCGGACGAGGCTAAAACTACCCGACAAATCGATTGCTTGGGTGAAAGATTTCACTATGGAGAATGTAATGTTGTTCTGATTTTTGTGTGTTAGTACCAAAGATTTGCAATGTATGTTGATGGTGTGACAGTGCTAAAATAGTCAGACTTGGTAAAAAATATACAAAGCAAGCTTCTAACTGATATCCCAAGTCTTCAATTTCTAGAATCCTAAATTCCATCTTTTTTTGGCTTACAAATTTTCCTATGGAGAATGTTAGGTCATTTTGATGTTTGCTGGGGCATCTCCATAGTGTATGTGTGCTTGTCTTTAACTTGTATTTGTTGTGTAATGATCATACAGTTACATCTTTGTTATAAATCTACACAGTTTCACACTAAAATGATGTGAGGATATTTGATAATATAAATATGCATTGTTTAATCTACAAGAAAATATGATGGTTTAACAATGAGGCAGCCTAATAATAGTATTTGTTTCATAATTGATGTGCATAGAACAAGACATGTCAATTTCCTGCCCAAATTCGTATTTCTGATTAGATTTATCCTTACATTGATATTATTAATTGAGTTTTATTTAGACTAACTTTCCCACCTGTCAAAAAATATATTTGGTTTAGAACTAGGATATTAAATTAAGTATAATGGTTTAAAAAGTCACTTTTTTCTCTACAATCTCACTGGCACAATAAAATATCAAAAAGTAGTTATTATTATATATTTTCCATCGAAAAAAAATATTTATTTAATCACATATAATTAATTATCAATTTTTATTTTAATATTTCCATATCACATCACCTTTAATTATATCATTTTTTAACTCATATACATTCATAATCTCAAATTTATCATCCACAAAATATCAAATTTTATAATATCCAACCACAGTCAACACAAGACTAGTCCAAACGCGGCAACACCAAAGACTTTTCCTAGCTGCCAGAATAGAACAAATCAACACCACACAATTACACACAGACTTCTTCAATTCCATCCATAAATACAGCCTGCCTTCAATATATAATCACACATAATAAACCATCATCAATACCAAACATGAGCCAGGAATCATCAATTTTCCAACACCTACCACAAGAAATCACCATCAACATCCTCTCAAGACTCCCTATCAAAACCATCATATCTTGCAAGCTCGTATGCAAGCCATGGCTCGAACTACTCGAGACTCGCGAGTTTGCCGATTCCCATTTATCGAAATCCCTTCCCGGATTAGTCGTCTTCAAAACCACAAGACACTCGACTATGCTCGAATTTTTTGAACTTATCGACAAGCCCGGTCTCGAACACCACAAATTCCACTACAATCCGGTCGCCGAGTTTGACCACGACTCGTTTCTTCGTCACTCCACATGCATACAAGGCTCGGCTAATGGGCTTCTCTTTTTGCGTGAGGTAAACGTGCAACCAAATGTGCTCCACATATGCAACCCGATCACGCGAGAATTTATCGAGCTTCAAAGCCAAGAAAAGTTCGTCTACTCTTATCCGACGATCGTCACTTATGGATTTGGAGTAAGCAATACAACCGGTCAATATAAAGTCGTTAGAGTGTTCCACGAATGCACGCGCGATAACAACACCAATGAATTGTTAGGAATTCCCAAGTCCGAGTGCCACGTGTACACTCTCGGGACGAGATCGTGGAGAAAAATCGCGCACGATCACGCGAAACTCGAGTACAGCTGTCGGTCGACCGGCGCTTTTTCGAACGGCAATCTACATTGGTTGGTGGGGGATTTAGAGGGCACGTGTCGGATTTCTTGTTTTGACCTTGAAACCGAGCTCTTCCACACATTTTCGATTCCTTGCAATATTGTGAGAGCGAATGGGAGGAGAATTCTCGGGGATTTGTTCGTGCTGAGTGGTCGTCTATGTATATGCGACAATACGTCCGAGGACGAAATCGTAATTTGGTTGATGAGGGAGTATGGGGACGACGAGTCATGGACTAAGGAGTACGTGATTAGCAAACGACCGGACTTTTCCGGGGAATGTTATGAGGTCGTTCGACCGATGAAAGTTTTTGGAGATGGCGATTTTTTGATGGCATGGGATGATTACTTCTTGTTCTACTATTCGGAGAGGGATAAAGTGGCAAGAAGCATCGACATGTTTCAGGGCTTTGGTAGCATAGACTCGTTTCTTCACAAGCCGAGCCTTTTTTCGCTTACGAATTTTCCTATGGAGAATGCAATGTCATTTTGATTTTTGCTTGTGTAATTTTCAGAATAGTTGATGTGTGATTGATTGTCTTTCTATGTTGATATCTCTTTTTACTACATGAATTTTAACAAAGTAATTTCAAGTCTCATAATAAAAAACACTTGCCTTTTGAGGGTAAACATATGAGACTATCTAGAATTGGAAGGGTTCGAAAATTGGATCGATATTCGTCTCATGTATAAAACCGACTACTTTTGGGCTTATGCAAATGAGGCGCAGTCATCGAACGATTCATTTCGAACGACGATTAACCGAATATATAGCTATTCGATTTTCACGAAAATACATTAGGAGAAAGAGTTTTTTTTCTTTTTTTTTTTTTTTTTTTTTTTTTT